AGTGATGCTGGGGACTGTCCTGCCATCTTGATGACGTCCTTTCTCAATGAGCTTTTAGTAACATTGTGACTTTTGCAAATGAAGCAAAGAATAAGTGAAATGTTATATTTTTTTATCAATTAACAAATGACTCCTGGTTATTCCAGCCTTTTAAAAGAACAGAGAAACGAGGAATTGAAAACTACCGTTTTGGAGTAGCCCACAGCGGGTATTATGAGGTGTTGTCTCTGCCAACTGATAATTTGCTTTGTGCAATATTTTGTAGATAGTAAAAATGATTAAGAAATGGCTGATTTCTTCATAATATTATACCCTAGTAATGGTATGATAAAAGACAGGTTGTGAATAATATATCATGAATGTTCAAAGGAAGCCCAAAACTTGTCTATCTGGGTGATTCAGGAATACTTGAACAGTGTGTTTTTGAGACAGTTAGTAAAGAATAGGATTACAAAGGGCAGAAGTCAAAGGACTTGTTATAGAGGCTTCAAAATTCTGAAGTGGAAGAAATAACATGACCAAAGTGCCACAGTGGGAAACATTTGTTAAGTACCTATTGTGTTTCAGATTATGCCAGGTATTAGGGATACCGAGATGAATAACATTCAGTTTTTGCTCTCAAGAAGGTTATATCCTGGTTTAGAATTAATTTGACTAGAGGCCATAGTTAAAACTGTGGAAGCACATGAAATAATTGAGGGGAGAAAGCATAGAGAGAAAAAAGAGATAGCTGGACAGAATCTTCAGGAATGTGTACATTTCAGATAAAAACAAAAAGAAAATCCAATAAAGGAGACAGTAGTATTATTGAAAGATGTATAGTTAAGAAGAGGATCAAGAGGGTTCCGTGATCTGGAGCTTAAGGATGAAAATGGGTTTTAATAAAAAAGAGGCAATCAAGCATGCCAGACTTATCTAAAGAAGTTAAGAATGAAAAGAATAAAGATTAGTGAGATCTAGTGATTAGGAAAACTTTAGTGACTTTACAGACCAACTGGAAGGGAGGCTTGAGGCTTTTCACAAATATTAAAGGTTCTGGGAAATGGGGAGGAAATAGAAAGCAGGTGTAATACATTTCTTTTAAGATTAACATGGGAGAGATGTTGATGGGATTGAGAGGGAAGGACATAGATAGGGTTAAGGGATGACCTTGGGAGAGACCAGAGGTCATGCTAAGAAAAAGGGGAATGGAAATGTGGAAATTATTGTTAAAGTGTGAAACTTGAAGAATTTAAGATTTTGGAGGTAGCAGAATTTTGTGTGATCAAATCCAACATGTGACCTAAATGGAATCAAGGAGGCATAAAAGAACATGTGGAAATTGTATAAAAAGAGAAAGAAAAAAAAAGCAAGACAAAAGATTGATAAAGTAATGTAAAGGAAATAGGAAGCATATTTGCAAGTTTGAATAAAGAATCAAGACAATTTCCTGTTCTGATTGACGGACTTTGGAATCAGTCCCATAGATATGTGTCTTCTGCTCTAAATGAACTGTGAATTGATTCATTTAAAAAAAATTTATTGTATATTTACTCTGTACCAGACATTGTTTTAGGTGTTCGGAATATGTTACTGAGTCGTGTACATGACAGCACCAATTTGTAATATTGAAATATTAACTAACTTGTTTTATGCGTGTGATATAAAAAAATAGTCTTGCACTATTTGAATTATGTTCAAAACATGAGTTCCTTGAGGTCAGGGATTATTCATCCTTGTATGCTACTTACTAAGCATAGCACCTCATGCTTAATAGGTATGCTCATGAAATGTTTGAATTACTGAAACTGCTAAATAAAGAGTAATTCTGGAAGATTTTTACATGGAATTACTATCTGTTTTTTAAAAGGTGGTAGAAAAACAATACTAAAATTATATATAGTGTTACAGAGCCTTTTTATGAGAAAAATATACTTTTTGTTATATTACTGAGTTCTAGATTCTTGCTATAAAGGCAAAATACAGTAAAACGATGAAATGCATTATTAAACTATTTTCCTTCTGTAGTGTGACTTTTCCCATATATAACAGAGGAAGGCTTTCATGTCGTATTTTTGATAATGACTGGTATCACTACAATCATTGTAATGTGGTCCTGGTGTTCTTTACCAAATACAAAAGTAAATATTTTCCCACCAACAAGGAATAGGCCCTACGGATTCAGTAGTCACTTGGGTGCTTTCCATGCTCTAATTATTTTAACTAAGTATTTTAGAAGAAAGAATAAGAAAGTAGAGTAATGTAGCCTTGATTTGAACTCCTATCTCTGCAGTGTTGCTATGCACAGATGTAATTCTATGTATAGGTCTATACTTTTTTTTTCATTTGAAGTTATAGCGAATAAAGCTCATATTCTGTTAAAATTTTCTGCTCAGTTGTTTCTAGCTGTCACTCTTTTTTTCTTTTTCTTCTTTTTTTTTTTGGTGGCTGACCATTGCAAGGATTGAACCACTAGAGTGTTATAATCACCACACTCTAACCAATTGAGCTAAATGGCCAGCCCTCTTTTTAGACCCAGAAAAGAACTTTTTTGCTGTCAAATTATGTATGATTGGTTCTTAAATTGTTGCTGCAAGAGTGATACCTTCATTTAGTTATTGCTCATGTTTTGTGTTCATGAGACTCCAAGGTTTAGCTCATTTACTCTTCACAATAATGAAATTAATTTTTAACTGTACACCTAAGAATGCTGCTTACTGCCAATTCATTAGCTGTTATAGAAGTATTTCTATCAGTTTCCAATCCTTGATAACTTCAATTGTTCTGAATTTTTATACTTTTTGTACAGTTTTGGTAGTTTTGAGTTTACCCTACAAATTTCTTTGTATGAAATCACAGCTACATACATGTAATTGACAAATATAATTTAAGAATTATTATTTTATAAAATATAACTGACAGGGCTGGCGAGTTAGCTCAGTGGGTTAGAGCGCAGTGTTAGAATACCAAGGTTAAGGGTTCAGATCTCTGCACTAGCCAGCTGCCAGAAAAATAAAATAAAATAAATACATATATATATATATATATATGTTATATATATATATATAAATGATAGATGACTCTAAAATCTTCAAAACTAAATGTTAAGTTCAACTGGCTTTTCAGGAAAATTGATAGAGAAGGAAATGTAACTGATTATAGTATGTTTATAAATAAAACGTTTGATTAAAGCACATTTGAGTCAGTAAGTTGAATTGATTAGTGAGAAACAGATTTTTACATATAATCACAAATGAAAATAAACACTGGTCTTTAAGGGTACAAGCTCATTTTTTATAGAGTTTATTTTATAGAACTAGATGGGCTTCTGAGAATGTGCCAAAAAAAAAAAAAAAAAAAATTGACACAGTCTTTCTGGTGGCCTATCACCAGTCTTAAAGATAGTACATTTGGGTAACCTTTTTTTTGCAGTAGCATGCCCTATTTTATTTTGACTCAGCTTCAGTGTTAATGCAGTCCAGAACTCTGATAACACAAAAGTGCCAATTCACCAATTTTCTGTTTAGGCTTTGATAAACAGAAACAAAGATTGGCTGACTTAGAAAAGACACCAACCCCCAAGATTGTGCCCTTTCCTTGTCCTACCTCACAGTTTTTTTTGTGGGCCTTCCTTGTAAAGACACTTTAAGGATCTTCCCTGTGAGACTGGTTATGCTTTGCTGTAGTGGGAGCAATACTTTGAATCAGAACTTCATCCTTATAGGCTGATACAAGACATACCTGATGTAATTTACTTAAATCTTATTTACTTAAAGCCATTTAAATCTTCCTATTTCAGTAAAGAATGTAGAGTTTATATTAGTCTCTGTGGGTAAACTGGCCTTTTTTAGGACTACCCCTTGGTTTTCAGAGAGCAGGAAAGCAGATGAAAGATTTGGTTGATAACTAAGTGATAAAAAAAAAGTGTACTTATTTTTAACTTACATTTTTTAATTTAAATGTATTGTGTTAAAATTAGTTTAATTGGAGTACATAGTCAGGGCTGATATAAACAGGAAATAATACGGAAGCCTTATTTGGATTTTAACACACAGCGTGGTACTTTTCACAGAGTAAATTCTTAAAATAGCCTGGAGTGTGGGGTTTGATATTCTGTTTTCCTAGTAGCAAGCCGGGGAACCTTAATTATTTCTTGGACGTAAAGGGAAGATTTCCAAGCACTAAAAAATTTTTCTGCCAATTTCCTGCAGACTATGAAAAATAAGTCATGTTTTTGATCATATAACATCCAACCTAGGGTTATGACCCTTAGTACTATATTCTTCTTAGAGTAAAAGTGCAGATTGAAAAGTCACACTCATTTGAATTGAATATTACATTACTATCAGAAAGTTAAAAAATGATTTTTATATTGATAGCCACCTGTGAATGCATTTAGAAATATCTTAGTAAGTTTATTCATTAAATTCTTATGTTGTCTTGTACACTGTTTTATTAGACTAGAATATTGTCCCTTTTTGTTATCAAGCTATTCTTTCACTTAAGAGTTATTGGGTAGAGAACAGAGCTTTATAATTCTCGCACGTGGAAACTGGGATCTCGTTGCCTAGAGTGTGTGATAATTTCAGTAATCCCTTGGTGACAAATTCTGGACCTATTTCATTGATTTTCAACCTTGGATTAATAAGATGTGTTAATTTTCCTTCTTATGAAAAAAATTTTATGATATATTAATGTACATGTATTAACAAAAAATTGGCCTTACTGCCTCAGGTCAAACTATTTTAATTAATGAAAATTATTTACTTAAAACATTGGTTCTCAAATCTCAAATTCAAAGTAAATAAGGTTATACCATTCATTTTAATTATTTTTAGAGTACTTTGTGTTTCTAGAAATTTCTTCTGTAGGGCTTAAAAAGTAGACATGTAGAAGAAAAAACGTAAAATAAAAACTTCATAGATAAGAAATTATTATCAGTTTTAACTATGACCGCTGAAATCAGATAAATTTCATCTGTTTTTATAGTACAACTTCAAGTGTGTTTTTTTCCCTCCCAGGACATTTATTCAGAGCAGCTGGGGATCAACCGTTTAACCTGTCCACAGTGTCGAGTGCCTTCCCAATGGTCAGCCACCCAGTCTTTGGTCTACATTCAGCCAGCTCAGGGCATTCAGAATTTGGTGGTTTGGGGACACTTGGTACACCCACAGCCTTAGCCGCACATCCCCAACTAGCATCTTTTCCAGGTAAACATCTGTTACGAAGTGTTCAAGGAAAGGAGGAAAGCTTGAAAATTCAAGCAGTAATTTGTTTATTAAATTGAACAAAAAGGAATAGTCTAATGCCTGGTGTATTAAAACTCTTGTGCAAGAATTGCCTCAATCCTATTTATCATGTACAAAAAAATAAAACACACTGCGTGTTAAGTGGCAGGGTACTTAATTAGGTATTCAGGTGTTAAGCTAGAGAAATAGGCATGTGCCAGAGAGGGGAATAATTAAGCCAGTTTTTCTCATGCTTTTTATTGAAGAACAATAGACAGAGAAATGTACATATTGTAAGAGTAGAATTTGATAAAAAAAATTTTTCAGCGTTATTTGATTTTTTAAATAATTATTTAATTTACAGTGTAAAACTGAAGTCCAGTTCTTATAATGAATATTACTATGCTTGTAATTTGGGTTCTTGCTTCACGTTGTAGTTAAGATGAGCTTGACTCTTAAATTTATACATTATTCCATATGTGATCAAAACAACTGTAGAGGTGTATCACTTGTGTGGTAAGAGGACCAGTATTATCCAAAATTCTACAGATTATGAGGATTCAGTAGTTCAGTAAGATATGAATTAAAACTTAACTTAGACAAACATGCCTTAATTTGTCTTGTTATCTTAAAAGTCTAGACTTAAATGTGTTTTCCAGTGATTAATTTTACTTTAATAGAGTTTAGTAAGGGATGCATGTTTTAATGTATGTAAAATAGTTTAAAACATTACAACATAATTCTAAAGACAATAGACCTGAATTTAAATCTAGTTTTGCTGCTTCGTAGCCCTGTGACCTTGGACAAGTTATCTGATTTATCAGCCTCAAATTTTATCTACCTCATAGGGTTCTTGTGATGATGAAAGGAGATAAACTATGTTTAGTGTTGAATACAGTGTCTGGCACACATAAGTATTCCCTAGTTGGTAACTATTATTTTTTTCTCTTGCCTACTTTTAATGGTTAATAAATTTTCAAGTACTTCTTTAAAAGGAAATGAGTATCTCGTTTACATTGTTTGTAGAAAGGATAGATGGTTAAATGTATATTACAAGTATTATTTCTTGAGTCTTATTATTCCTTTAATTCAGTTGTCTGGGAGAGAGGGGATGGTGGAGAGGAGTAATGTGAATAGACAGTGTTAAAGTAGCTCTTATTATTTCATTTAAAAATGTTAATAGGAACTTAGTTTTTAGCATGCTTCTTTAGTAGATAAGCATTCAACAGATATTTACTAAAACAGAAGATTCTGAATAAAAATAAAAATAGATAATAATATAGATATTAACTGATATCTTAAATTTTTGTATTGTTTTATCATAGTTTATTATAGTATTGCTTTTGGCCATTTATAAACCACAATGTAATTCCTGTATTATTAAAATCAAATATTTATGCCCTGGAATTATGGTTAACAAGTGTTAAAAATTACTCATCTGGACTTCAATAATATTGATACTTCTATTGTGCAGAAAAAATTTAATAATTTCCCCACCCTACATAAACTATTCATTCATTTATTTAACCTACAAAGTTCTTTAAGCATCTACTATGTTCTGTGCACTAGCCAGTTACTGAGGAATAAACTAACGTGTAGTATATTTTATGTTATGTGTAATTTTTAGGAAACTAATAAACAGATAATTACAAGACAGAGTATTTAGTGATAAAAAAGCCTGCCTGTGTGAGCATACTATGGGCAGAGGCTGTATCTGGTTTTAGAGGACTCATTTTGTTTAAGTTGTAGATTTGGTACTATAACTTAAACATAAATTCTCAATAATTGCCTTTATTAGAAGGGAAACCAAATTGCCAAATCTTTAAAGTCACCCAGTAAAAATAAATTAGGACACATATGGCAGACATCATTAGAAATTTTAAATGAGGAATAATTTGTTTTTAAATTTTATGTACATCTGAATTACTCTGCAGTTCAGATTAAGTCAATAAATATAAAATTATTTAATGAATATTAGTATAATTAAGTTATTTCCATTTTATATGGAAATAGAATTTCATAGTAAGTTCTTTTAAAATGCTTGTAATTTTTTTTTTTCTTCCCTTTTTGTCTTTTTTCGTGACCGGCAACGGATCGCAACCCTCAGTGTCGCGCCCGTACCGGACCGGGACCGGCAACGGGATCGCAACCCTCGGTGTTGCTCCCGCACCTCGCTCAGCCAGTGAGTGGCCGGTCTGTATGTGGGATCCGAACCCTCGGTGGGAGTGCCACCGCGCTTCCCAAGCGGCGCATTGTAGCAGTGCGCCACCGGGCCGGCCCAAAATGCTTGTAATTTTTTTATCATTATATTTTAATATTATATTACCATGAATTTTTGTAAAGTATCTGGCTCTATCAAGTATAAAAGATTTCAAAATTCTGCTAAATCTTCTAGTTTCAAATTGAGATTCAGTATATCCTCTGAAATATTAAAATCTTTCAATTGAATCTAATTAATGCTGCTACAGTGTTATCTCTTGAGTATACTTAGAAATTTATCATGATTTATGTGATTCCTATATTGTGTTTTTCATATTACCAATAAGCTAGTTTGTAAGTGACTAAATTTTGTCTTTTATTTCCTTAAATTTGGAAAATAAGCAAACTTGTCAACAAAAATTATATTTCCTAAGAAATAATATCAGATATTTATAAAGTTCATATTCAGAAACTCTACCATTTTAATCTTTTTATTTGATGATCTTATTCACTTGTTTTGTATTTTCTTCTGTGGTGTCAGCTTATTTATAACACGCATTTTCCCATTGTTTACTCGAATTTGTACCATGTGCTTATTCACCATTGACATTCTGGAGTATATTTTTATGTTTATTCTGATTTTAATTATGTCTAAAATATTTGAAACTTATTACAGTTTTATTACCTCCCCAATTTGTGATTGTTTACAAAGTCTATACACTCAATATTAATGTTGTAATTACAGACTCTGTTAAATAACGTAAATATCTTTGTGAAACCTCAGTCCCTTTTATCAGCTAGGTTGAGCTTAATTTTCAAACCTATACATGACAATAGATACTGTCTGTGCTGATAAAATCCCAAAATATACACTTTTTCTTCTTATATTATTGTACTTCTTTCATCTAAACAGTGGGCAAATGATTAATGATTTTGTATAGTTAATCTTGGTTTAGTTCCCATCACTCAGGCATGGCCAAATATACATTGGTGTCATTTCACAAAGTAATGCTTTCCTGCAGTGCAGAAGAATAGCTTTCGCAGTTTTCTGCTTATATTGTTTTTAGACCTTTGAGAGTTGCAGCTACCATGAATATTTCACTTTTTTTTAGACCAGATTTTCCCATTTATAATGAAGGCGCCTATTACTTTATATCTTATTATTAATGAAGGAATATTCCTAGAAAAGCTTTAAAGATCATATAATACAGTATACTGATAATTTTGAGTTTTTCCCATACTATATTATTGTGGGTTGTTTTTTTTGTTTTTTGTTTTTCCTCATTTTCTCATGGTTGTTACAGTCAATGAAAAATATACCATAACTTTTGGAAGATTTGTCTGAAAGATTTTTACTCTTTGGTAATTTAGCAGGTTAGACCATTGGAGAACATTGTTTACAAGATTTTAGTTAGGGCAGTGCAGGACTGTCCTTCGGATTATTTTCAAATCTCTTTTTAATCTCAACCCTTCCTTGAGAAATGTATTTTATAAAATTTGGCTTATTTCCTTTTCCAAAAGTTTTAACTAAGAGCCACTCTTTGAATATCTAAATTACATTTGATGATTTCCTACCATTTGGTAATTTTATATTGATAAAACAATCATTGTTACTTATAATTTATGAGTAGAAGGATAAACAAAATACAAGCTTTCTTCATTAACTTTAAGGGGATAAACTTTGCAAATCTTTTATATTTTAATATGAAATTACTAGTTTTTGAAATCTCCTTTGACATCTTAATTTCTTAGACCAAAAATAAAAGTTACTGATTTTGCTATATTTATATTTTTGTTTGACTATACAATGTTTTCTTTCATAAATGCATTTGAGGTATAATTCTGGATTTACAGTAGTCTTGTACTATTATTTAGACTACCTGATTTATCAAACCCAGGTTTATATTGTGTATAATTTGAGAAAATTCTGAACATAGGTTTTAAATGTAACCTTAAATTCATGGAAGGATTCATATCATCTTTCAATTCTATTTTTCCATAAACTTTTTGAAGTGCCCTCGTAATATAGTCGTAATATTTTCTTTACTGATTTAGAAAGAATATGGTATAAGCCATCAAAAAGTCAAATAGTTCTGTTATATTCCAAGTTGTCAGTTTTACTTTTAAAACTATGAATTTGCTCTTTATAAGCTTGAACTCTAGAGAGCTGCTAAGTGAAAATCCTTGGATACTGGCCCAGAGAGAAGAGTGATGAGTGAAAAGTTCTAATTAGCTGTTTATCATTAGAAAGATGATCAGAACCGTGTAGTTCAGCAATTCTGTTCCAAGATGAAACTTTTTTTCTTTTAGTAATAAAATATAGAAAGCAGTCATTACATTAAATAGAAGGTTAATTCAAATATTTTTGTTCATTTGGTTTGTTTGGTTTTGAGGTGCAGAATGGTGGCGAACAACAGATGTTCATACTCGTACAGGGGCAAGCTTCTTTCCACCGTTACTGGGAATTCCACCACTGTTTGCCCCTCCAGGCCAGAATCATGATTCTTCTTCATTCCATTCAAGGACTTCGGGAAAAAGTAATCGAAATGGTCCTGAAAAAGGTATCCATATTAAATGAGTGAAGTACTAAAAATCTTTCATTTCAATACCTATTTTCAGTAGAGTTCAGAAATAATAACATTTTTATAGTGTTGTGTTAGACACTTTCACATGGTCTTCCTTAATCCTTACAGTAATTCCTTGAGATTAGAAGTATTCTCTTTTTGCCGCCAAGGTTAAGTAAGTTGTTCAGGAAAATACTGCTTACACACAAATGTGAAAAAGTGAGGATTTGAACCCAGTTCCACTGCTTTTTCCTCTGTATCTCATTATTTCCCTATATGCAGTTTAATATAGTATGTTACTACTTCTGCAGTTAAACATTATCCTCATTCAAACTAATACCCTGCTACTCTATTTTTATTTTAAGTGATCATTAATATTTCTGCAATTAATAACTATTGTTAGAATATCATTTGAAATTTCTAATAGCATTTTACCTGATTTATTATCTTTCCTTTTACTTGAGTGTTTGCTCTAAAAGGGGAATATTGCATTTAATTATCTTTCTAAACATGTTTTTTTTTAATTGCAGTGAAATTCACATATTAACCATCTTAAAGCGGACAATGCAGAGGCACTCAATGCATTCACAGTATTGTGCAACCACCACCTCTATCTTGTTCCAAAACATTTTCATCACTCCACAAGGAAACCCTGTACCCATTAAGCAGTTGATACCCATTCCCCTCTACCCCAGCACCTGGAAACCACCAGTTTGCACTCTGTCTCTATAGATTTATCTATTGTGAATATTGTCTGGCTTCTTTCACTTATAATGTTTTTGAGTTTTATCCACATTATACATAATATCAGTACTTCATTCCTTTGTGTGGCTGAATAATACTCCATTCTATAAACATGTTTATTTTTATTTTCAAGGTGTAAATGGGTCAATAAATGGAAACAGTACATCATCTGTAATTGGTATCAACACATCTGTACTATCCACTACTGCTTCAAGTTCAATGGGACAAACTAAAAGTACAAGTTCAGGTGGAGGAAATCGAAAATGTAATCAGGAGCAAAGCAAAAACCAGCCTTTGGATGCTAGAGCTGACATAATCAAAGATAAAGTAAGTCATTCTCTGAAGGACAAATATATAACAGATCTATATATAAAGTAAGCATTCTAAAGATCAAACCACTGGAATCTACAGATTAACTTCTTATGAATTACCAACGTCTCGTTTTGCAGATGTATATTTTTATGGTGTGGTATTAATATTATATATCTTAAAAAATTAAAATTGTCAGCATCAGTGTAAACAATATAAATAGTAATAATAGCTAAAATGTATAGAGAACTTACTATATACCAGCTCTGCTCTAATTTCTTTATATGTAATACCTGTTTCAGTCCTCCCTGTACCTCAGATGAGGTAGATACTGTTATTACAAATGGGGAAACAAAGCACCAAAATAATTAGCCAGTATTTGGCTGAGCCAGGATTTGAAGCCAAGCAGGTTGACTCCAGAGACAACGCTTTGGAGAAAAAAAAAACCCCAAAATAAAAAAACCTTTTATTATGGGAAATTTCAAATATAAAAATTAGATGGAATAATTCTGTGTACCCATTATTCAGCTTCAACAGCTATCCAACCATGTCCAAATTTATTTTATCTCTATCCACGACTGTGCAAGTTATCAATTTATTGCCTCTCGGCTCTAAACTCACCCTTTTCTCCTTTGCCAAATGGCACAGTGTTAGGCCTTGTCAATTGAGGGTCCAGGTGGAACACTGGAAAAGGAAGGACTTTTGTTTCTGGTTCCAGTGTTTGCTACTTTTTCTTGTGCTGTGGGTGCTAGTGGTTAGCTTTCTTGCCAGCTGATTCCTTCTCTGCTGGTGGTGTTGAGGAGATCCCGTGGTGGCCAGGGAACCCAGTGGTGCACACCATCTAGTGAGTTTCATTGGCATCCCAGCAGGCAGCTTATTAGCAAGTTTTGCTGGGAAACCAGTGGGTGGTTTTCTAGCTAATTCTACTGGCACTTTAGCTACCAGGTTCCCAGCCAAGCTTTTTTGGCATCCCAGCAGGCAGTGTTTTCTTGTGTGCCAGCCTTAACCTATGATACCTCATTGAACCTGTCTGCTATCCAGTGGGCAGTAGCCACATCCTCTCCAACAAAGTCTGAAGCTCAGCCTTGGGTGAATGGGGGGTTGGAGGAAAAAAGCCCTCTGCCAGAGTTATTTTTATTTCAGTATTATACCTCAGCCCTACAGAAAGTGGTTATTCCCTACGTCTCCTATTCCCGTATTTTTAAGAGGTCTCTTTATCCTTCTTGGTAGTAAATTTTCTGTTGCTAGTTAATGATTCTTTATGTGAAATTTTTCTGTACAGATTGCTAATGTTGTTTCTGCCTTCTGACTAGATCTTGTCTGCTATAAAATTTATACCAGGAGTGGTGTGGGTGAGTGGGGTTGGGTAAATTCACCCCAACATCATGATCACTCTAAACTTATGGATTCTCTCTTTCACACATGCCAGGGAAGCTCCGACATCTCAACTTTATAAAATGTAGGGCACCACTGAGTTCAGGTTTAGGTTTCATTTATCCAGCCAAGTAAGCTGAGACCTCTCCAGCTCCATGATCTGAAGTATTATGTATTAGATCACCCATAATGTAATTTCTTCTTCAGTGAAAGGTTTGTTCCAAGTTAAGGCCTTAGCATCACTTCAGACATTTTGAAAACAAAGACAACTAGAGTTGTGTCTTTTCTTCTACATTTTATGAAAATTGCTTTCAGGGCCTGGTTTTTCAGTGGAAGAGAGTCAAAAGTTTATGATCTTACATACGGCATGTTCTTCACTGTCTCAGCTGAAATATCAAAGGGTCTAGGAAGCTTCTGACACACCATAGCAAGAATAGCAAGATGTAGGTAGCTACTGACTGCAAATGGTATAGATCTGAACTTTAAATTCAAACAACACGCATCCTAGGCTCCAACTTTTAGTCCTAAGAAACTATTTTGTCAAGTTTTTCTTTGTTGTTTTTCAAGACAGCATCAAGCTCCATATATTTTCCAGGATCAACAGAACAAGTAAAAGTTTCTTTCCTTTTGCTGACCATATTTGATAGAGATACTTCCTCTAGATCTTTCAATTCCCTTCTCAACAGAAGATAGGTATTTTCCAGTGTTTAGCATTCCCATTTGAGGGCTTGGGGAAAGGTCATCTATCTGGTGACAGTAAGAAGCTTAATGGTACCCATCACAAAACTCAACAGTACAATACTTAGGCCCTGAGACAAACTTTTTCTTTCTTTTTCAAGCCATACCACTGAGCACTGGAGCAAACATGATAAAAGACTCTTGGTTATTTCCCCCCAGGGACACAGGTTTCAGGGTCATACTCTCTCCACCTGTTGCTCTTCAAGTGCTCCTGTCTCTTCTCTCTTATGATTCTTATCAAGGGCATTCCCATTAGTGTAAGCAATAAGGGCCCATTTCTTGGGCTGCTGCCAGCTTCTCTGCATGCCAAGCACTGACTGAAACACCACCCATTTCTGACTCCCAAACTATTTTGAAGCAAATTCCAGATACCATATCATTGGATACATTTCTTTATGTATTTCTAAAAGTTAAGCACACATGCTTTTAAATCTTTCACTATCCTATCTTTTAGAAGTAGTGCTAAAATCTAGTAAAATCTAAAATTTAAAATGTCCTTTGTCTTCACAATGTACAAGGCATTATGCAAGACTTTGCAGGCATGAATATGTACCAGTTTATGTCATTAGTGTCAAACTAAAAACTATTGCCAGGAGCACATAGTAAAAATGTACAGAGATACCTATTTATAATATAAAGAAATAGATTCTAAGGTATCATAGTGGTGTCTATAGACAGCTAAGTCAAAGTAACATTATAGAGAGATTAGCTATTAAAGTGAGGCATACTAGAACTTAAGACTTCAGAAGAACAGCACTTTTGGATAAAATGGAGATGAAGGGCATTGGAAATAAAGAAGAAAATTTTCTACTTTTTACCCAGTATTTTTCAGTGTTAAAACCTTTTTAAAAATTACTTCATTAGCTCTTTTCATGTGCAGTTTGAAAAAATATTCTTTAGCTAATTTTGATATCCCTCTGGGGGGTGGGGTGCTTATCTCAGGCATCCTCAATGAAAGTCACTGATTAAGTCCAATTCCCTCATTATCTGTGTATATCTTTAGAGTAAATATAAATATTTTAAATTAAATAAAGTAAATTTCAAAACTAAGGTATACAAACATCCAGCCTGTTTAGAAAAAAATAAAATAATTCAAGGTTAAATAAATTCTAATCCTGCTGCCATACAAGTTATTGTTCCCATAGTAGCCAAAACAGTCTTTTAAAAACATGTGATTTTTTTATGGTTTGAAAATATCATATTTTAGGGAATATGAAAAGGTGCAGCTGCTGTGGAAAACAGTATGATGGTTCCTCAAGAAATTAAAAATAGAATTGTCATATGATCTAATAATTATACTTCTGGGTGTAAAAGAATTAAAAGCAGGGTCTCAAAGAGATATCTATTTACCAATGTTCATAGTGGCATTATTCACAATAGTTAAAATGTGGAAGCAATGCACGTGTCCATTGATAGATGAATTGATAAGCAAAATATGGTACAGACATTCAGTGAAATATTATCCAGCTTTTAAAAGGAAGGAAATTTTGATATTTGGTACAATGTAAATGAACCTTGAGGACGTTATGCAAGGTCACATAAGCCAGTCATAAGAAGACAAGTTCTGTATAATTCCACATTTATTAAGTACTTAGAGTAGTCAGAATCAGAGAGACAAAAGTAGAATGGTGGTTGTCCGGGGCTGGGGATAGGAGAGATGGGGAGTTAGTGTGAAATAAATACAGAGTTACAGTTTTAGAAGATGAAAAAAGTTCTAGAGATGGATGGTGCTGATGGTTGCAGGTTATGAATTTACCACTGAACTATATGAGCTTTCTACTTGCTTTGGATTTTCTTTTTCCTATAGAGTCTTAAATGTTCCAGAAATAAATCTCTCTTCTTTATTATATTTTTCTATCTTTTCTGATATGAAATATAAGCAATTAAATTCCTTAGCCCTAACTAAAACAGCCCTATAAGTCTTTTGCTACCTATTTTATCTCATCTATGGGAATTATTACTCTATGGGTTATTTGCTTTTATATTAAGCATCTATCTAACCCTTCCTCTTACCATCACCACCACTAGAACATAAGTCTCTTGGAAGGCCAGGACTCCGTCTTATATACCGTTGTAGTCCAGCACCTAGAAAGGTATGTTTAGTATCTTACAGGTAAATATTTGGTATCTTGTAGGTAAATAGTTGACTGCTGACTCACTGTCTGCATAAAGAAAGAATATCGAAGGTAAATATATAACTTCAACACATGTATTACCATTAGAATTATTATTTTGCAAACTGCTCTTTTTAATCTGTCATGCATTTTGAAGCATGACATTCATATAGTAGATCTTATGTATATACTATATTGATATTTTCAATATTCTACATGTGACAGAGCTGGAACTTTTTTATTGGAGAATTCCTCTCAAATAAGTTAATTTGATCAGTTTGTTAAATAATTACCCTTACAATATGTGACATTTTCCTTTTTCCTCAACGACATTTTGAGATTGGAAATATCACTGGAAAATTAAAAGAGCATACCTTTTACTGAAACTTGAATTTTTTTCCAAAAATAAAGTCTTGCCAAATAACTTGTCTTTATCCAGAAACCAAGGAAGAAAACTATGGAAAGTTCTAGCAACAGTGATAGTGATTCAGGCACATCATCAGACACATCAAGTGAAGGCATTAGTAGTAGTGATTCAGATGATCTAGAGGAAGATGAAGAGGAGGAAGAAGATCAAAGTATTGAAGAAAGTGAAGATGATGATTCTGACTCAGAGACTGAAGCACAACATAAAAGTAACAACCAGGTATAAATTGTTTCATGGACAATATCCAAACATGACTTGTATATAAGAATAAACTGATTTATCTTCACTCTCAAAGACTATAGGTTTAAAGTTAATCATTACCTTGACTTTTTACTTTTGCACAGAAAGAAAAGGAGATGGAGAAACATTTTCAAAGGGACTTTTGGTTTATTTTTAGTAAGCTTTATATATCTATCATAAATCAATAGGAGCACTTTTTAAAGTACTTTTTTTCCTCCCAAATTTTACTGCTTGATGTTTTTTGACTTAACAGATGCTAATAAGTTGCCTTTTAATTTTTATTTCCAGGTGCTATTACATGGTATTTCAGACCCAAAAACAGATGTACAGAAAGCAACTGAAAAAGCCCAGGAAAAAAGAATACACCAGCCATTACCTCTTGTGTCTGAATCCCAGACTCACTCATCATTCCAATCCCAGCAGAAGCAGCCTCAGGTTTTGTCACAGCAGCTTCCATTTATTTTCCAAAGCTCTCAGGCAAAGGAGGAATCTGTGAACAAACACACCAGTGTAATACAGTCTACGGGATTGGTGTCCAATGTGAAACCTTTATCTTTGGTAAATCAAGCCAAAAAGGAAACTTATATGAAACTCATGGTTCCTTCTCCTGATGTACTTAAAGCAGGGAATAAAAATACCTCTGAAGAATCTAGTCCTTTGACCAGTGAATTACGATCGAATCGGGTGAGTTAAAAATTAGTCTACAGGAATAGAATATGTACATAAGAAAACTAAATTTCTCTGATTTTATATTCATATATATATCTGTTTGATATATTTTTTGGCAACACAGTCAGGTCATTTCTCCCCAGGTCTAATGATTTAGCATTAGGAAATAAGTATGTTTGAATAAGACAAACTACACAATTACTTTTGTTTAAAATTAATGTTCTTTTTTTCTAATATCAATATGTTCTTTTTTAAAGAAATGAACTCGAGTAGTTTCCCTCTTTAATCCTAAAATTTATAAATTTTAAGTGTAAAAATTCTGAGTCATGTTCCTTTGCCATTCTTAATGAATTATGTGACATGTAACTTTTACTTATACAATCACCAGAACCACTCTTCTGAGAATTTTTTCATCTTTGTTTTTCTTGCTATTGATTTTATATTACTACATAGTCTACATTCATATGTTTCATAGAATTCTAATAATTAAACGATCACCGATTTTTATTCTAGAATCAAACCAGAGTAGAAAATTATTATGTTTGAACACAATATACTGTGCTTTAGTTACAAATATTATCATTTGGCTTCCTAATCATTAGATAACACTTCTAGAGCACTTGCTATTTGGTAGCCATTGTTTTAAGTTTTGAAAATGCATTTACTCATTGGATGATAATGTCTACGAATGCTACTCATATTATTATCCCCTTTATAAATGACAAAATGGAGATTCATAAAACTTCAATAACTCTCCCAAGATCACAGTGCTGGTTAGTGATGCTGCTAGAATTCAAACCTAGGCAGTGTGGTACTAGAGTCCTTATTCTTAACAACTGTGGCATGCTGCCTTTCTTTCTTGAAAAAGTCGCAATGTTCTTGTCTATTGACTCTTACTATGAAGAATTTAAGAACAGGGCCGAAGAAAAGTGACTTGAACAAGTCAGCTTTTTTTTGAGAATCTAAATGTTTGGTTCTCAAACCTAACTGTACATTAGAATCACCTAGGAAACTGTGAGAAAAATACTCTTCAGAACAATTAAATTAATCCATTATGATGGAACTAAAGTATTGGATTTTTAAAAAGCTTCCCAGGTGATTCATATGTGCATCCAGATTTGAGAACCACTCATCTAAATGGAATGACTGATAGCTTTATAATATCATGCATATGACATATAATGCATTGCTCAGACACAAGGAGGTATTACCAGCATCACATTATTAACTTTCTACAAGTAAAATAAGCAAATTAAAAATTACAATGTTTGGTTATTTTAATTTTTTATTAATATATTGTCCCATTTTAAGATAAATGAATTTACAGAGCCACACCAAGAGTTATCTGTATTCCGAAATTCTTTAATTTTTTTCAAAGGGTTTCTTAAATGTTTCTCTAAATAAGAATTTTATATGACTACTTATTACGAAGTCATTTATTAAATACTTGCTTAATAAATGTAGCCAAGCTAGGCTTTTTACACATATGATCTTATTTAATCCTTGCAAAATCTTGTGAGGTAAAGAAATTAAGGCTCAGAAGTTAGGTCGCTTAATCAACATTGCATAACAAGTTAAGGGCAGAAAGGATTTAAACCAAGCATTCTGATTTTAAATCTCAGGATTAAGATGAAAAAATTTGGTGTTCTTGCTAACTAGAGATCATTCAGAAATTATGATACAAATTATCTCAAATGATAATGGTAGTTAATGGAGTTAGAGGGTATTTTATAAACATCTCTTTTATAACAGCTGTCTATCTTTATGTGACAGTCTAACACACAGATGCTGCTTGTCTTATGATGGGGTTAAGTCTGGATAAACCCATCATAAGTTGAAAACACACTTTGGACTTATAATGGGTTTGTCCAGACTTAACCCCATCACAAGTCGAAGAGTGCATATCACTTTCTCACCATCGTAAAGTCAAAAAATCATAAAATCATTAAGTCAAATAATCATAAGTTGTGACCATCTTGTAGAATTTTGATTTATTTCTTACGATAATCTTATTTGTTTCATACTACCTGCTAATGTCCCTCATTAGTTTATTGTTTTCTTGAGTGTTATTTAATTATTGGATCCTTCAGTATCTTTACAGTGTAGATTCAAATCAATTAATTGGAATACGTAGACCTGGAGTGGAATTTGGTAGGTCCTGTGTCAGCTTTCTGTTATTAGGTTTTATCTGGAAGATTTTTTGTGGTCTGCAGACTCAGGTAGGGGCTAGGGAGCAAGAGTTTGGAGGTAGGATGGATGTTTGAACTTATCTCTTCCTGTACTACTGCTGTTTAAATGGCTATCTTAAAGCAGCAAGAGATTTGCCGCTCTATAGGTTTCAATATTTTTCGTCATCTTTTTACACACTACCACAGATATCACAAAGGACAATAAGTATACTCTAAAAGAATAGCTGATACTAGTCTTGGGATAAAATGATCTTTGGTTATTTTTGAAAACCTACATGGGAAGTGATTCTTTAGAATCATAAGGAGGAGCTTTAGCAGAAAACTAAGATATAAAACCAAAGGGAAATTTTTTGTTTTCTTAGCCCTTTTGCTTCTATGTACTTAGGAGGAAAGTTTACTACCTATAAAAAAAGAGCAAACATGTTTATGTGACATAATTATGTTAAGTGATGCAATTACAAAAATTTTTCTTCTGAAAATTTATATCTTGTATATATTAAAGTATTTTATGTAAGAATTTTGCTATAAAATTCCTTTTATGCCCTTGGGTACTGATTAATAAATAAATAAATAATTCCTTTAAAAAAGGTAAACCCAACTATTTTTTGTAATTTTCCATATTTTCTTCACTGAATAAGTATTAAGCACTTTCTCTGCATGAGGTATTATCTTAGGTGTGAATATTATGTGACAATCTTTATTTGCAAAGAATTAACTTAATTTTCTAAACTAGTACAGTAAAGATGTTAAATAAGATAAAGTTTACTTATTGCTTTCTGCTTGTTAGTACTGCTGCTTTAAAATATTTAACGAGTCATTTTATATGGTATTCCATCTGCATTGACGCTTGTGAAATCCTCATCACCAAGTCTTTGCTAATTTGAGTGTAAGGGCCCAGGTCTGATGCTGACAACATTGCTGATTTTAATTTCAAAGCAATCATTTTCAATGCACAATTTCACCTTAAGTTAGGAAATTCAACTCCACTTCTATTAACTTAAAATATTTTAATAATTCCACTTTAGTTTATTTTATATATTATTTTAATTATACTAATTCTGTATTTTACTGTTTTCAAAGAGATTCTAATAGCTAAATAATTTTTTGTTTCTTATTTATAGACGTAAATTTTATGGCCTAATAGTTTATAAATTAATTTTTCCCAAGAAAATTATTTTTGTCAACTGTGTGCTTTTTCAAATGTTATTGTGCTAAAGGCACCACTACAGTAGATCCCACGGAATGTTGAGCCACCATTCCTACGAAAATATCATAACTTTGCTTCAAAGAAGTTCCTCTTACTCAATAAATTATTTACTCAGCAATCTAAAATTGTTTTTTGAGTACATACCAAGTGTGGGGCTCTAAGCAATATTTTTGGAAGACCATAAAGATGAATAAATCTTACCTCCTTAGAGGTTTAAGTCATATAGGCATACACTATGTATACTAAAGGTAATATGGCATAGAATATAAGGAAGCACTGGAGCTCAAAGGTAGAAGCAAAGAGTGCTTCTGGCCAGGACAAACATGGAGAGTTTCTTGGGTTGTATCTTGAAGAATGAACAGTATTTCATAAGCTTGAAATTTAGGGCCGGCCCGTGGCTCACTCGGGAGAGTGCGGTGCTGATAAGCTTGAAATTTATAAGAGGAGAGTATTTCACGCAGAGCAAATGTGGGGGTGGTGAAAACATGACATGTAGAAGCCATGGCAAATAGTTCAGTTTAACTAGAAAGGTATGTTAGTGCCTAATTGTGAAATTATTTAATATTAAAGTGTTTAGATTTTATAAAGTTGGCAATGCTCCAAGGTGCTAATATAATAAAATAAGGCTTAATCTAAGATAAAACTGGCATTGTTGTATAGCATATATTGGGAGCTGGGTGGGAAGAAATGATGGCATGGCTAAGATTTGAGAGATATTTCAATGAAAAAATCCAAAGACATGGTAATATAGCATGACTTGGAAAAAAGAAAAGTAAAAAATGCTTTTGGGTTTCAAGTTTGGATTATTGTGAGGATGGGAATAGCAGTATAGAGAGAGGGACAGTTAGGAAGCATATTTTTTTAAGGGGAAAACTCATTAAATTTTTAAATATAATGTTGGGCCTAGCCGAGTTTCAGCAACCAGCTAGTTATCACTGCCACTCCTTTTACTGCACATGTATATCATGATTTAAATTTGTATATGAGCAATGTTTTTAGATATTAAAAGCAAATAAAAGCAAGCTTTGTTTTTAAGGTATATTTTATTTTGTTTTTTAACTTGTGTTTCAACAGGAACAATATAAACAGACATTCCCATCACAGTTAAAGAAACATGAGTCATCTAAGAGCCTGAAGAAGGTTATTGCAGCTTTGTCAAATCCAAAAGCAACTTCTAGTTTACCAGCACATCCAAAACAAACATTAGAAGACAACCACCCTAATCCATTCTTGACAAATGCACTTTTAGGTAATCACCAACCAAATGGAGTTATTCAAAGTGTCATTCAAGAAACTCCTCTAGCACTTACTACCAAAACAAAAATGCAGAGTAAGATTAATGAAAACATTGCTACTGAAAGTAGCGCCTCTTTTCCCTCACCTGTGAATTTGAGTACAGGAGGGAGAAGAACTCCTGGCAATCAGACACCTGTAATGCCCTCTGCCTCTCCCATACTGCATAGTCAAGGGAAGGAAAAAGCAATTAGCAACAGTGCAAACACAGTAAAAACACAGCAACACTCCCATCCTGCAAAATCTTTAGTGGAACAATTTAGAGGAACAGATTCAGACATTCCCAGTAGTAAAGATTCTGAGGATTCAAATGAGGATGAAGAAGAAGATGAGGAGGAAGATGAGGAAGACGATGAAGATGATGAGTCTGACGACAGCCAATCAGGTTACTTTCTATTTTAAAATTTGAAGTATTTCTCTAAATGCTATGTGAACCAAAATGTTCTAAAGAGCTTCTTGATTCACCATCATTCATTGGGTTTCAGAACACAGCTTTGTGCATTCCTATAATGAGCTGGTAAAGTACAGGTGTAACTGATACTGGAAATCCTAATTTAAATTCTCAGCTTGTTATTCATTTGATGTTAAACAAATAATAACTTTAAAATCAATATAAATGATGCATGAATTAAGAAATAACTTCATCAACCTGCTTAATGTAAGTTTCGTTCAGGACCACTTATTTGTCTCTTTTTTTTTCATCTCTTCTGCTGCTTGTTAAAATATATCACTAGATATTTTGAACGAAGGTAAAATTGTAGTTACAGTTGTTCAGAAGGTACCAAAAACTTAAATCCCTATGAATGTTCGTTAGTAACACAGAATTTATTAAATAACATATGCGAGTACTCCCAGATTTAATTTTGATTCACTTTCTAGTTTTTTTTTGTGAGGGGGAAGGATACTTCTTTGCATTTCTCTTTTCTTTATCACTCCTTTTCCATGGAAGATTTAAAACATAAAATCCAAGATAGCTTAAATTTTATACAAAGATGAAATACGTATTATAAAAGTTTGTGGATTTGTTACTGGTCAACCACAAATCCAACTGTAAATTTTCTAGCAGCCAATGTAAATAGGAAAATATAGTCAGTTATGCAATTTAAAGTATCTGTAAGTTAAAAACAAACTATTTGCTCAGGTTGAGAACAACTTTTCCCTATAATATTTTTTCCTGGGGTTCTCATAAAAACAATTTTGTATGATAGGTAATAAATATCAATATTCATAGCTTTCAAAAACTAGTTTTTATAATGAACTTCAATGTAGGCAAACAGTACCACACAAAACAGAATTTCACAAAAGCCATTGTTCTGGGAACCATTAGTATACAGGCCAAGCACTGGTCCTATGTTTTTCAAGTTTAACCCAGTAATTTTACATATCTAATGGAGTGGATGCATTATACATAGGACTACATAGCTAGAACAAACTTATATTATTAAATCACAAATTATCCTACACCATAATTATTTCTTTAAGCTTAGTTTTTTATGAATCCTGTGAAGCCTGAGAAGCCTGATGAGGTCTTGCATCTAAATAGAAAAACTGCAGCCAAAAAAACCAAGTTTCCCCTAGAAAATTTTCTTTTACCCCAAAGCCCAGATGAAAGTATGATAGTAGTTCCAGACTTCTGTTCGTCGTACTAGACTTAGTATATACTTCTTAAGTCATTGGAATCTGTTAATTTGAATTATCAATGATATTCCCTCTTTTACTTTAGTTTCTCCATTAAGTTAAAAGTGATTTTAAAGCCATTACGCAGAACTCATCATGTACATAGTGTTATGTGAGAAGAACCATTTTCTAATTAAAGCATTGAGTAAAACTGATAATTTTAAAGAATTTTGAGGATTTATAGTCTAGATATATTGTATTCAGATAGCTTAATATGATAGTAATTTTTACATTTACTCTTCAGGAAAGTTGCTCGTTTGAGTTCTCAGTCACACATGCTGGTTCCTGAACTATTCCATTTAGATACAAACTGCAAATTATTGGTGCTTATCTAGTTATAATATACAAATGCTTCTTTTACTTCCCAGAATCAGATAGTAATTCAGAATCAGATACAGAAGGATCAGAAGAAGAAGATGATGATGATAAAGACCAAGATGAATCAGATAGTGATACTGAAGGAGAAAAAACTTCAATGAAAATGAGTAAAACAACATCCTCTGTCACAAGCCCTTCCATGAGTCTCACAGGTCACTCAACACCTCGTAACTTCCACATAGCAAAAGCCCCAGGCTCTGCTCCTGCTGCTTTATGTTCTGAATCCCAGTCACCTGCTTTTCTTGGCACATCTTCTTCCACACTTACTTCAAGTCCACACTCTGGTACCTACACTTTATTTTTATTATTGTAAAGTAGAAGTCAAACCATAGCAAGCATTTTTGTTTATACAGTGTTCTGAAGATGATCTCATTGGAATCAAGTGTAACAGCTAGATTTTAGGTTGGCATTGGCTAAGAAAGGTCAGCATATATTTTCAAAGGATAGGACCCATTACCTGATCTATTCTTTTTTTTCCGTGCTTCCAGTTCAAGAATGTGATTGATGACAGCTCTTGATTTTATATCTTTTTCTGCTTTTGTGATGAGTTTGTGCTTCCAGAATATAGAATTTGATTGACAATTGGACTTTCTGTACTTTATATAAAAAGGTCACTTGGTTATTTAAGATGCAATTGTGTATCTGCCCAACATATGGCCAATGTCGTTTCAATTAGTGAGTAGCATCCTTATTCCATTAACATGCCACATCTATTTTTCTATTTGACTTTTTACAAACTTCTACAGGTCTTCATTAAAAGTTTCTACATTTAATATTTTAAAACTACTCTCTATTCTCTCATTCAGTAGCTAAGAAAATATAGATGTGTATAGTAAAATATTTTGTTAGTTGTTTTACTTGTTTCATTCACTTCTTGGCAATTTCCAGTTTTGCTTTCATTTACCAAAAACTAGTATGATATTCTACTAATTTTAGATTAATTTATTTGTATTTGTGAAATGAGTTCTTTGTCTTTGAAAAATTTGACTTATAATCCTATTCCTTTGTGCTTTAGGTTAAGTAAAACACCTAGCATTGTTTTTGACTATGGATGTATATGGACATAGAAATTAAATTGTCTTGGGCCGGCCCGGTGGCGCACTGGAGAGTGCGCCGCTTGGGAGTGTGGTGGCGCTCCCGCCGAGGGTTCGGATCCCATGTGGAGACCAGTTCCCGCTCACTGGCTGAGCGCGGTGCGGGCGCAACACTGAGGGTTGCGATCCCACTGCCGGTCCCCGGTACGGGCACGACACCGAGGGTTGCGATCCCGTTACCAGTCAGTAAAAAAAAAAAAAAAAAAGACAAAAAAAAAAGGAAAAAAAAGAAATTAAATTGTCTTTAAATGTATGAGCCAGCTGTTGAAATTTTTCAACATCTGAAAACTCGTATTTTCAAAGAAAACAATTATAAATAGATTTTTGAAACCTCTACTATTTCCCTCCTACTTCCCTAGCCATTTCTTTAATAACAAAATGAGAGGAAAGGTATATATATTTTTACCTTGGACTGTTTTTCTTTAGAAAGAAAAAACCAGTTATTCTGTCATTGAGACCAAAAGAAAAAAGAAAAAAGAAGAAAAAAATCCTCTGCCTTATACAGCGTTTTGTTGAAAACCTTTTTCTTTAGAAAGAAAAAACCAGTTATTCTGTCATTGAGACCAAAAGAAAAAAGAAAAAAATCCTCTGCCTTATACAGCGTTTTGTTGAAAACAATCTAAGAATAATGTATAATGGGTATGCCCCCAGTATGAATCTGGCCCTCACATCATGGGCATGAGGGTTGACAATTAGCTTTGTATCTCATGAATATTCTTAATAAATAAAAAATAATAATAATAAATAAAAAATAAAAATAATATATAAATTGCAGAAATTTATATATTATTATATAATATATATTATTGTTAAATAATCCAAGTAATTAAATATACTTTTTTAAAGAAATTAAATATACTTTTTTATTTAGATGAAAAAATTGTCATCTAAATAAACTAATCTTTTGTAATAACTGGTTGCATTTTCTTAAAGGCACTTCCAAAAGAAGAAGAGTAACTGATGAACGTGAACTGCATATTCCTTTGGAATATGGGTATGAAAAAGAAGGTTTTTCTTTTTGCTTTCCCCTAATATATTTATGCATGTTTGATGTATACTTGATTTGTCATTCTCTACTGTTAATAAAAGAAATGAATGCACCGCATAGTATTTATTAGAGCAGAAGAGCCAGAGCAAAGGGCAAAGAAGTTGATGTATCAGATAACTTAACTGAGATTAAGCTTTACTGCTTCATGGAGGTATGGCAGAGCTGGGATGGCATTGTGCAGCCAAGTGGGAATGTGACAAAAAACAAGAGCAAATAATATGGCAAAGGGAAGGAGAACAGTTAAGATAGTCAAAAGTTTTTATGAAGAGAGAATTAAAGGACAGTGAAAGCCACTTGGGTCAAAACTGAGGGACTCAAGAAGAGTTAGGCTAGAATGGTGTAATTTGAACTGACAGGTTTCAGACTGGATGTATGTGAGCCCCAAACACCAAAGAGTGAGGCTTACTTTATTCAAATATAAAACATCAGTACACGCTGACATGTTACTGAAAAAATCCGAGTACCCAAAGTCACGATTTCTAAAAACTTTAATGGAGTTTAATATTTGTAAATTGAGTCTTTGATTAATTTTTAGTTGAGTTAGCTAAAGATTTAATTTTAATAGTAAATGTATTTGGGTTTTATGATGTGGGGTTTATTTTTGTTCTCTTAGTATTTTTCATGATTTCTAAAGAGCATTTGTCTTTAAATTTTTTTAGTTTTTAAAAGCTTTTTAAAAAATTAAGTATGTCATAACCTTCATTTCCGTTATGTGTAGCTGGCAGAGAGAAACAAGAATAAGAAACTTTGGAGGGCGCCTTCAAGGAGAAGTAGCATATTATGCTCCATGTGGAAAGAAACTTAGGCAGTACCCTGAAGTAATAAAGGTACATACTTTTCACCAAATAACATACATTTGGTGCCTATTAAGCATGCTCATGTAAAAAAAAAAAGTGCTCTCCTGTCTCAGATAAAGTTCCTTGATACAAATATTCTCTTGTATGGGACTATTGTACTTAACCTAAATTGATCTCCTATAAATTCATAGCCCCTTGTTAGAATATGCAAAACATTAGTGTCCTGAAGCTAGCTATACGTCAAAGCTGGGTTGTAATTATTAAAACCTGAAGTGGAAAAATATGTGATTTTTTCAGTATCTCAGCAGAAATGGAATAATGGATATCTCAAGGGACAATTTCAGCTTCAGTGCAAAAATAAGAGTGGGTGACTTCTATGAAGCCAGAGATGGACCGCAGGTATCCACTTTTTAAAAAGTACAGTCTTTGAACCAAGAAGTAGTACCATAACCTAAATGAAGTAAATTTCACTACACTCTGGAGCATTGCCTTTTGTTAGTTAATTCATATAGCTGTACATATAGCTTTGTGGTAAACACTCACTAAGGCCTCAATTTACTATGTCTCAGTAACAAGGAGCTTTGAAATAGTAGATGTCTTTTTCATACTCAAGTAAATGTTTTTCCTGTTTATTAATTCAACTAATAATTTTACAGTTTATACAGGCATAAAAGTATCTGCATGTTCATGTGAAATATAGGAAAACATTAATCCCCTGAAAGATAGAACAGTTTTTTAAAAACTAATTCAAATAGGAAAACAACGTTGTTACAAGTTAATCCAAAAGAGGGTAAGTTTGCCTTAGATTTTTGGAAGGATCCTCTCCATTTGATGATGCTGCACTACGTGATCCATTTTGACAAGTTTGGTTTTGTTTCTTGTTTTGGTTTCTTTAAATTAGGTGACTGAAATTTCTGGTTTTGGCAGAAATTGAGTTTTTAAATTAATTATGCACATTTCTGAACATTTCACCACAGTGTCCTTTGAGCTGTGAGTTAAGTACATAGCCTCAGCAGCCAGCAAAAAGAACTCACCGAGAAGACTTCATTTCCTATGTTTTCCCTTTCGTCCTTACTTGTATTCAGCTGTATATGCTTATTATTCCCTTTAGCTTTATCAGTTCCATTTAAAAAGGACCTAGTTAAGGAGTGATGAGACCTATATTCTTGTTAATTCATGAAATAGTTTTGTTATTCTCAGTAACAAAATAATGCCCCCTTTTCCCAATTTCTTTATTTGCCAAACAGAGACAGTAATAATTACACTTCTGCCTCATAGGATTATGGCAAGGTTAAAATGACATCACATGCATGAAAATATTTCAGAAGGGTTAAAATGCTCAGCCAACTGAAGTGGGTATTTCTCTCTTTTGGCACATTATAATGCACAGAAAGACATTTTTTCCAGCAATTAATATTTTCTTTGTGAAATGGCAGGCTTTTCTGTTCTATTTTACCCTCTAATTTTATAGTTACAGAAATGAAAAGGGCCTTTCTCATTTTGTGTGAGGCTTATTTTGAGAGCTTAAAAGATTAAAGGAATTTACCAAGGTCACACAGCCTCAACAAGGCAGAGGTATAACTAGAACTCAACGTTTCTGAAAAATTATTATTTCGAATATATCATATAACTTATTATCCATTGTTGCCCTTGACTTTTTAAGGAAGAAGTTATGTCCAGATCTACTTTTCTCTTTACTGGTAATTCTAAAATGCCAAAATGTACTTATCTGAAGTTTAACTACTTTGTAATATTCTAGGATTTTCCTATTTTTATTTTTTAAACTTAAAAATATTTGACTTAGACTAAATCTGTCAACAGATTTTTAAAATGTTAGTAAACCAAAGTGTTATTTTACACACTCCATATATACTGGATCAGGTTTGTAGTCACAAAACATACTAGAAGGCAATGAGTTTATTTAAAAATTATTTTCAGAATTTGATTCATGTTATCATATTCATACTTGTATTATTTATGCCAAAGTATCTTTTTTTTTAAGTTCAATAGATTTTTGTTCTGAGAGCAAAGCTAATTGTTATTCAATACATAAAGGACTTTCAGTTTTGTATCAGTGATAATTAGACAATCTATAAATCCTTATTACATAGAACAGAATGTTCTTTGACATCCGTTCACTTTTTATTAAACATAATCAGTGTTTTGCAAATACATATTGTCTTGTTGAGATCAATTCCAATCAAGGAAATATGATGAATTACTAATGCCACAATATGTTAAGCTGCCAACATTACAGCAGAATGCTAAAAGAAAATATTAGCAATTTTTAGAGCACTTCTCTCAGTTAAAAATGAAAATTAGCAAATTGGAGTTGTTTCTAGATACTTTTAGAGAATAACGGTTAAAGGTAAGTAATCCAAAGAAGCATTTTAGTTAATTAATTAGAGATGCATGTAGCTGTAGAGCCATATGCATTTCTATATATGATTCACATGTATAATTAGGCATGTATATAATTATATAAGAAAATTCTATAAAAATGAACAATGATTATATATTTTTGTCGCAATAAATATGATGTGAAATAATTTTGATCATCCTATATTTTGTAGAATATGAAAAATATAGTTTGACACAAAGACACTATTACCATGTGGTGATGATGATATGTGTTTACAATATGCCTGCCTTTATACAAATTATATAAATAGTATGATGACTGAATATAAATTAAAAACCAAAACTGTGTATATTAAAATACTGTAAAGAAATGTGTCAAAACTTTAAAAATGGATGTAATGGTTAGTGGTACAATGGATCATTTTTTTTGCCTTCTACATTCTTATGTTGTTTTATATTTTCTAAAATGTGTTTGTATTAGAAATATAATATGAAAAACTACTTCCTATCTTTTAAAAATAAAAATTTCTACCCTTTGTAATCCAGTAAAGCTTAGAATTCATAGTTTTACAAATGTGTGGAGATTGTACATAATTATTTCCAAAGGTACAGCTACAGTTTTCCAAGCTTCATGTATCTATTTGGGTACTTGATAGCAAATGAAATGCTGTATGTGCTGATTCATTAGTATTCTGAATCACTTCCCTCATAAAACATTTTCCTTGGAAATATGTTTTCTCCATAATATTATTCTTTTTTCTCTTAAAACATACCCAAAAAACCCTCAATATTAGTTCCATACATTCTGATTTTACTTGAAACATTTCAAAAATTGTGCCAGTGGTATTCCATAGCTCTATATTTTGCAAGTGAAATTTAGGAGATAATTTCTGCTATTAGATAGTACCTGCAGTGGAAAATCATGGCTTCTTTGTATAAGTTAATCATTTGGGGGGTTTTTTGTTGTTTTGTTTTTGTTTTTTTGTGGTTGGCCAGTAGGGGGATCCAAACATTTGATCTTGGTGTTTCAAGGTGGTGCTCTAACCAACTGAGCTAACTGGCCAACCCCAAAGTTAGTCATTTTTGATTCAAGATATTTCTGGGCTTAAGATAATGATTATATATGTTTTAACAGCAAACATTTTTTGAAAATATTGACTAACTTTGTGTATAGTGCAATATGATGAGAGGTATAAGAGCTCATATGTATTGAAATTTATGTAAATTCATTATTAGCTGAAGGACAACAATCTAATGGTTACCTATACAGAAAGAATAAAGAAAAGCCCTAATTTATTTAAATAGGGTTACAAAAGAAATGGAGGGGAGCCTTTAATCTATTTATCTTCAATTTTATTTATTTTGGTCTACAAATGTGGTGAGAAAGTTGTAGAATGAGCTGCTTTTTAGCATCTACCGACGTAAATCCTTGCTATAGTGTCTGGCTATCTTCTAATGAATTTCTGCTAGCTGTTCTAGCCCCTTCGTAAAAGGTGTAAGGTAAACAGATTTTTTACAGACTTCTGTTCCATCACATTGTAAAGAACTTGTTGAACCTAATGTTTGTCATTGTTTTTATTTGTTTTATTTTTGATTGTCAGAATAATAGGAAGTATGATTGAGCTAGACAGATTTTGGTGAATATAAAATAGTGTTATTTTTATTTACCTAAATAGCATACTAAGGTAAAACTCATCCACATTTTCCTTAGGAATATATTCAGGCTTCAAAATAAATTGTTAATGGCAAAGATTATTTTGAAATATATTATGATCTACTTTGAAAACCACTTTTTGTGAGTGGTAGAAACAAAAACTTTAAGCATAAATATTATAAAAGTTTAATTTTTTTCAACCATAAAGTTGAGAAACATTTAGACTATTGAATGTCTATGGTATTTAAGCCCCCAAAAAACAGAGAAAATGAAAGATGCAAAGAAGAAACAAATTAAAAATGACTCAGTAAATGTTGTGTTCCTTCTGTACTTGAGATGTATTTTTTTAAAAAGTCTTTCTTCTTTTTAATGATATAAGGCCATAAGAAAAGTAATATGTTTATAGTCATTACTGAAAGAGCATTTTTTTCTTAGTCATTTCATCAATAAATACTCTTATTTATGGCAAATACTTAATATGCCAGGCATTTTTTCCCCCAAATAAAATTTTCCTAAAGGGATTTTTTTTACATAAAGAAAATCGTAAACACACCTTTCACTACAGAAATGAAGTTGAAAACCTGACTTTGAGGAAAAATTAGGGTTCATAGAGAAACTGAAAAGTACAAAAAAATGGAAGTTATGATCACTGGTTTAAAAAAGCTTATCCTCTGGGAAAGATAAAACACTAGGCACAATGCTGTCCAGCTAAAATTAGGGTTTTGTTAATAAAGAGTAAGGAAAGACTTCACAATAAGGCAGGCAACATACAGTCCTTGGCACAATTGTAATGCTGGTAATTATTTCAAATTAAGTAAAGAACAAAAGATTGGGAGTCAACAACCAGAGTTCTAATTCAACTCTGCTGTTAACTGTCAGACCTAATGCAACATAGTTGTGTGCACATGTGGACACTGAGAACATGAAAGATCAACACCAGAAATCTAAAAGTCTGGAAATTTATGTCACTGATCTACCAGGTAGGATTTTTGTGGCTAGGCAAGGCCTGTAGTAGGAGGCCAACTGTATGCATCCAAGTATGGAGCTGAGGAGGAGGTGTTGAATGTCATGACACTCAGAAGATAACCTACTATGAATAACTGGGAAGCATGGTCAGCACTGTGGAAACAGTTATATCAAACCCATCTTTCTCAACTGTTTTTAATAGATGACACCACTCTCCTCCCATAAATAACTGATCTTACTCTTTCACATCTTTAAAATGTTATTCAATGTACTGTATTAATAAGTTGTATGACTAGGATGGATTAAGAATCCCTAATGCCATAAAGTTTATAGTCTACCAAGCTCTTACTACCTACTTCTGGCATTATAAAGTAACTGAAAATAGACATAATATAAACTGTGAAATAAGTAAAAGGAA